CTTCATCAAATAATAAAAATCTTTTCTTGTCAATTGTCAATGTGTATTGTTTGGGAATGTCCAATATACATGACTGTGGAGGAGCTGGCATTGCTTTTCGTCGAGTCTTCGCAAAACCTTGGTCTAAAGTAAAACAGATTTTTTTATTTTTATAAGCACTGATGAAGTCGCTTACAAATTTCGTGCACCGTTGGAAATATAGCAATAGCTGTTGAACTCATAGATGCTTTCGACATTTCCTCGTCATAAACAGCTCCTATTGGTGTTAACTCATTTATAACTCGTCGTTTTATTTGTTGACGTGTTTGATGAACTTCAAGTAATTCTGGATTAGCAGCATGTTTATGTTCATTTTTACCACCAGATAAATAGTTATTGTTTATGTCTGTATGAATAAAGATCTTGCAGCCACTCGTTGTACAAATCCAGTATTTTTTTTTCATCGTTTTTTTGTTGCACTTGTATACGTAATTATGCATCACCAATAACGGTTGACCTTTGTTCGAGGTGATAAAATCTAATTTTTCGTTGTTGGAATTTGAAGCAGTATTGGCCGACGCCATTTCTATATATGTACCTATGATTGTATACGATTGCATATAATCGACTATTTTTATTGAATAGTCAATCTACTACGCTATACGGGACGAGAAGTTACGCAATGAACCAACAAGAAATTTAATCGGACACGGTGGAATTAAAATCAACTTGTGATGACATCTTTGTGAAAAATGTTTAGAAAGCATATCTTTGAGCAACTTTACTTTTAAAATTTTTACAATTCATCATTTTTACATTTCGACTTTCTTTATGTTTCGATATTTTTACATTTCGGCATTTTAACCTTTCGACATTTTTATCTTTCGACATTTTATCTTTCGACATTTTTCCTTTCGACATTTTTATCTTTCGACATTTTTCCTTTCGACGTTTTTACCTTTCGGCATTTTTCTTTCTACCAAAGTTGAGAGAATCGAACGAACACATACTCTTTAACACGTCATCGTACAACAAAGTTCTTTTGCTCATTTCAAGAAACTATTTTTGGAAGGTACAACTTTATGAAAAAAAGGATCGCATATGTTTTGTCACCCATCGGCTAAAATGATAGAATTCTTGAAAAAAAAAACTATGCATACACTACTTGTGTCTTCATTTACAGTTTGATGACAAATGAAATCTGTTTACGTTTCAGGTCGATCAGAACGTAACAAACTGAGTAATTAACTATATTTTGTTCAAAACGAGACTCAAAAGTTCTCCTACTTAACGTATTCCGATCTCACTGACTGCAAATTGAAGTATGATTGACCAAAAGTATCAGGATCAAGATCATAATCTATATTATTCTCTTATTAAGAGGAATCTTTCTTTGAGAACACATGAAAACAATGGTTTGTAGTGATGCTTACTACCTTTCGAAGAAAAGTTCAAATCCCCGTGAGTAGAAATCGAGATTTCGTTTGTATTAACCCAGACCTTAGATACCGTTGAAATTGAGCGTTATCGTTATTGAACAGCTGATATTAGGATTTTTCGAGGTATGTAAAACTATTGAATACTGCGATATTGGATATTGTAGATTTAGTGTCATGAAAATGCGCAACCTCAAAATCACAATTTAAATCAATGTTTTCAACAGCGATTGCTGCTTAGAAAACTATGGTATTATTCGAAAACAATTTCATTAGACCCCTACGATATAAATGAGACTGTGAAAGCTATGTATTTTTAACAAATTATTTTAGACGCACGCTTTAATAGTAGTTAACCATTAGTTAACATGCTTTTATGTCTTGTTGTTCTCATTTCTTGATTTTTATTATCGATCCATATGATTGATATACTTGAGTCACATTTAGTGCTGTTTTCCTGCTCTCGTTTCTCAAATATTTTTTATGAGATTGAATCAGTTAATGATAAACGAATTCAAAAAACGAGTGGCAAGCAACTATGTATTTTTCATTCATCGCTTGATGATGTTGGATATTCACTGTTGTTTTCCTTTGGTATTTCAACTTAATGAAAGCTTTTTTCTGTATATCTTTTAGTAAGAGCTGTAAAGTGTAGGAAAATATTTGCTTTACTCAGTAGATTAGCGATAGAGCCAAAATTAGTGCGCTAGTTATACAACGAAAAACTTTTGAATTATATATTAGAGGCATTTCACATTTGTGGTATGCGTTATTGCTTCAGGTAGTGGTCTTAAATGGAACCTAACAGGTGTAACAGTTGCAGGCAATGGTGTCTCGGGACATAATGCTGAGAATCTCAACCAACCTCGCTGGTTATACATTGATGCAAATGATATACTGTACATATGCGATTACAATAACAATCGTATTCAACGCTGGTTATTAGGAGCCACGAATGGTACGACCGTAGCCGGCCAAAGTGATGGCAGTGCTGGTGCTGGCTCAAATCAGCTCCATCAACCAGGAGGGATTGACTTTGATAATAATGGGTACATGTATGTAGCTGACTCTGGTAATGATCGTGTGCAACGCTATGCGCCCAACTCAAACAACGGTACGACTGTTGCTGGATCAGCAGGTAACGAGGGTAGTGCAACTAACGAGCTACATCAACCAGTTGGTGTTGTCGTCGACGATAATTTCAATATCTTCATTTCTGACATGGGTAATAAGAGAGTGGTGAAATGGGCTGCGAATGCAACAAATGGTACAATTTTAATTGATGGTAGTAGCAATGGTGCTGCTAATGGTCAACTTAAAAATCCATATGGCATTTTATTAATCAATGGTTCTTCGAATCAAATATATTTGAGTGATCAGAACAAAGATTATGTTGGAATTTGGACATTCGGAGCAGGTATCGCCAACACAACATGGTTTACTGCTAATGGTACCGATCTCAACCAACCGACACAGATTACAATGGATCGGTATGGCAATTTATACGTTGCTGATATGAATAATCAGCGCGTGGTAGTATTTTGTCCCAATTCAACAACAGGCAACGTCGTTGTTGGAACCGGCACCAATACTACGCCTACACTTCAACATGTAGGTGGGATTGCATTCGATTCAAATCTCAATTTATATGTTTCTGACATCAATGAAAACAAAGTATTCAAATATGCACGACTATGACTCATTTTACGATTATTTAACTATAATTCTGGCAGATACTGAACTTTCTGAATTTAAGTTTGATTTGCTTCTTTATTTTCAATCTAAACAAAATGGCTTATATATTTTTTTTTCAATTAACACTTCATATATAATCATAAAAACGCTTGTAACTTCATGAGATGCCTTATTCGAGTTCGAATATAAATGAAGCCCCAAAAGTTCGATACCGATATCGACACCGACACCCTGCACCCACTGGCACCTAGAGATGTGTGGTTTCGGTTTACTGGCAACTGACGTCACTGAGGGACGGTACACTGAGCACTGACTGGGTGTGTGGGTGTGGATATGGGTGAAGAGAAGATTTGTACTGATAGGTACTCACATCCATACCTACACTCCAACTGATATAAGAATTGATTGATTCCTAAATATAGACAATCATATTAACTAAGAGTGCTATTTGTATACAACAAGTGTATGTTTTTGGATACGAAAATTGAAATTTAGAGGCACAATGCAGTAGATGTAAAACAGATTTCATGGTAATTGTACTCGTGCATATGAGAAAAATATTAGAAAAAAAATCGTTTTTTTTAATTTAGATTAGGTTTAGAGAAATTGAAAGCGGTGCGAGTATAAACCATTATTTAACAACTGAGAAAAACTTGTGAGATGTTTTCTTTAATCTGTGAGAACTAACCCTAATACATCTACCCACGTACGGAACGTCTCTTGTATCAATAGCGAATCGATGAGAAAATGGATCTGGATGATAAACGTTTATTAGGAAGACAGAAACACAACCTGGAACAAAGCTGGATGGTAACATATACTTCGTAGAAAACGAAAAAAGAAAGGAAAGAAAAAATCGTAATACCAGTAAAATCGCACCATGTCTTCTTGAGATGAATATAAGCCATCAACAGAACGAAAGGAAACAAAAGGAACAAAAGAAAAATGGAAACAGAAGAGAACATAGAGACTAAGGCATAGTATATCCAGCTAACACTAAAGTTAGCGGATATGTCCACAACATCATCGAAGCTAACAGAATTTTTCCTTTACAGTCCTAGACTACTTAATATCCACGTCAAAACAATGATTGTAACACGATGATTTTTCGTCATTAAAATGATAGTGAACTAAAACGAGAAAAATAATCAAAATATTTACTTCAAGTGTATTGTTTCTGTCTACGGAAAACTTACCATCATTATCATCTGTAAATAAGCATTGCCAACAAAAGGCAATGGTACATTGAGTACATTTCATGGCATTACAACCAGCAAATTTTTCGATAAGCGTTTGACATTTTGGACATTTTTTGAAAGGCAATTTGCCCAAGTTCTTTTCTAGAAGAGCCTTTTCTTTCCGTTCTTTTTCTAATTGTTGAAATTGTTCGCATGTTATGCCAAAATGATATTCAGCTTTACATGGTATACAATAAATTTTCATGCATTGATCACATAAATATGTTGATGAATATGTCGATGGACGATAAACCTAAACAACAAGTTGAAACACAATATCATAAAAATGCAATTCTGACTAATTGTGAAGTTTCTGCTAACTTGAATAAATCGATACTTGCCTATTGATAGAAAAAATAGTTATAGTTAAATACTTTCGATGTCGCTATGCCTCAATATTTGTGCTGGGTGACATTTAGGAAAACTTATACAGATAATATTAGAAGATCTAACAACTTTCGGAGATAGGCTGTTTTCAGTGTCAAATAGTTATGAAAGATCGATCAAACATTGAAGCGATGAGACATTCAATGAGAATTTCAGGAACTTTGAATTCTTTTCGGATATGTGGGTTTTAAAAGTACAAAGTCAAACTGACTGCTCTTACTACTCAGCGGTTAGCATCAAGCTAACTCTGAGATCGATTTTTGGCATTGTTTTAAAAATGAAATGACCATAGTACCTGATCACAATCGTTTCCAAAACATTGAACAAGATCGTTCTGTGGACATCGAATATAAATTTTGAAGGCAATCAGTGCAAGACGATTCGCTTGTTGAAAACCAAGTATAGATACAATGTCTCGAATGAGACATTCGACATTACATTTATCGTATGGACAACACAATTTGAAAGCATTCAATGCCATCGTTGCGTCGAAATAAGTTTCAAAATAACCGATTAAACATGTACGACAGAAAGTATGTCCACATTGTTGCAATGAATACGGTGACTCTAATTGACTCATACACACGGGACATAAAGTGTTCGTATCTGTTGTTGTTTTTGTCTTTTGCCAAGCCGTAGCAGTAGAATGAACGGGTACTGGCACAAATGTTTGAAGAATCTCTTTCACCTTTTGCTCGCATTCTGGTACGAACTGTCTGTCTCCACTGACAAGAATCTGACGCTTGATCACATTGATAGTAACTTCTACTTTTTTATTGCTCAAATGTCGAAACTCATTTGATTTTTTCATACATTGACGTACACAACCTCGAATGTTAAAAAAAAAGAAAAACATTGCATCAGATATTCATCTCATGACTTACCTGCAGGAATGGAGATAGAAACTGATTGTTCATGGCGAGCAAGTGTCTGCTGAATGTACGTGTCAATCGCTTGATAGGCCTTCTCACTTGTCTGATCTTCGCCAAAAATTCTCATGAATGTTGACTTCCAGTTCCACCAAATATACACACCAGTCTGATCTTGAAGTTCTTGAAGAAATTTTTTACCCTTCGGATTGAATATAACAGAAACCTAAAATGTAACGATATTGGCCGATATGAACAAAAAAAACCAAGAATTTTTGTCAAAAACAAAACCTTCTCACTAGCGTTATCATGATAATGCGATGAATGCTTTTTATAAGGTTTTGGTCAAACATGACCGTGACAGACATGTCAACATCCTAAAATAAGGGTTTTTGGGCCACTGTGTTATAGACTTTGGAACCTTCAACTTCTAATTTTTCGAAAGATACTTTAGGCAATGTATCTATATGAAATCTTGAATCCTAAATATATTTTCTCTCTGTCTTGATTAGATATTTTACACTCATTCACACGTTGCCATAGGCAACTGGAGGTTCTTCTCGGTTGATCTCTCGATGACTTAAGAAGCTGATATTGATTGGAGACTTACCCATGATGGTTGTTGGAATTTGAATATTTGACCCTTCATTAAATCGTCGAAAACGGTACGAGCTTTGTAGATTTGGAGAATGTTTGTTCCTCTGATTGAAATGTAAGTAATTTCCTGTCCATTCTTCATATTAACTTTCTTTATTAATCTAATAGTTGAAAATTCGGGATCGTTTTTTATCCTATCAATAACATGTTGGATTTTGTTTGGTATTGCTTTAGCCAATGCCGAATGAAGTTGAATATTATGATCAAGTAAAGGCACGAGTCGAAGTTTGAATGCACCAAATTTCAAAAGATCAGAATCATCGGGTGCTGCATACTTTTCCATGGCAGCTGTGACATCACGAGGATCATCAAATAAAATCAAGGCAGAGACACGGCCATCCTTTGTAGGTGATAAAATTTGAATATCAGGTGTGGAACGAAAACGATCAGGATCTATGAAGAGCGTTTTAAGTTTGACTATATTAATTTGATTTTCTTCAATCATATCTGTTGATACATTTGTGGGCATACTCGATGACAGTGTTTTACGAAAGACGAACACGTCGGTTATGTAATCGCCAAGATGATGTTCATAGAGATCTTGAGTAATAATTTCTTCATCTACATCCGGTGGCAATGCAGAGAGTTGAAGAACAAAGGTCGATTGTTTCTTTTCATTCTCTTTCTTGTTCGGTCTTGTCGACGTTTTTCCTTGATCATCAACAGAAAGTCTCAGTTTGCCTGGACCAATTAAATTTGGCTTGCCATTCATTTCATGAATAGCCGCTTGCATGTCTCGTTCATCAGTAAATTGAACATAACCTTCTAGGCGAGCGTTTTGCGATGGTCCCAATACAATGACTGATTCACGTTGAAATGATGGGTACATGTTGAATAATCGGCGAAGATCATCCTCAATTCTAGGAGGCTTTTGGAGTATGATACCTTTGGGAGTTCTCATCAACACAGCATCCTTACAACCCGGAAACAGTGTTTTTAAATCATCTTCATCAGAATCTTGAGGAATGTTCCGTAAGCATACAGCAATTGGATTGTTTCGATGCATTTGGGGACGAAACAATGTCAGATCAGGATGATTAGAGACCTAAACAGCTTTTACAGTGCGAAAGTTCTATTCACATTTTTCTACTTTACTTGATAAGATTTTCGCAAAAAATACGTTTCCTTCTATAATCTATTTTTATGTTTATTCTATTGATAGTACAAAACTCTGCTACTCCAACAACATACTGAAGAAAAAATCGTTTTGAATAGTGAATGTTGTTCATCACATAAAACAATTTGTAAGTTTCCCCTGAGAAAAAAATGTCTTGTCTTACCTGCCGGACTTGCTCGGTAGTTTGAAAATAGACAGTGGCTTCGCCCCGGTGTGACGCTAATGGCCAAGTACATTTTATCGTCGGATTGCTGCTATTTAAATGTATGCGACACTTGTATCTCTTTGTCTTGAACAACTCACTGGCTTTCTGAGCTGCCTCTAATTGACTAAATTCTACACGTCCCGTACATTGAGATTCTGTCATAAACCAGTAAGCTTTCAACTTGCAATTTTGTCTGCCAGTATGGACCGATGTGCGTATATGACTAGGATTTACACGTATTGTACTGCCGTTCCATATCTCATGTGATAGTTGAGCCACTGCTGTTCGAGCACTTTTGCATGTGTCATAGGTGACTATAGCCGAGCTACCACTCTGGTTTGTTGGAAGCATCGTTATACTTCGAACTGTAATGAAAATAAGATGCATATATTTTTTATCAGTCTTTCTGTTGAATAAATAGAATTTTGCTATTTTTTTTCAAGGAGCAAAACGACAAGTCAAAGGGTATCTTTAATAAAGCGTATTTAAATCTATTTAAGATAGCTCTAATTTTTCTTGAAACATGTTATCTTATGAAGAATGAAAGAAAAATACACTTTATTTTTGGTTTTACCTATGCCGTATACTTGACATCTTTCGCGAATTTGTTCTTCAGTGACATTTGTCGACAGATGAGTTAGTAAAACTTTGACATATTCGTCCTCAACCAAAGCTAAATGAATACGAGCACCTGCACCGAGCAAAATTCGAGTTGTACCAATAATTTCAAATTCTTCAACTTCAGTACGAAGTTTTTCCCGTTCTCGATCTAAGACTCGTTCTAAGTGAAATTTAGCTCTTTGAAGTTTATCTTCTTGACCCCATATCGTAAGTTGTGACTGTTCATAATCGATATCGACGAAGACACCCAATGATTCTTCAAGTGATGGTATATTTCGACATTTTTTTCCGGCAACCGAAAGTAAGAGTGCTGGTCCGAGATTGTTTATGACAAAACAGTTGAGTACACATTGTGCAGGTGATCTTGGCAAAGAGGCTAACCACGACTTTTCAAGCCATTCGAGATCGATCGGACAAGCAGCAGTTAAAAAGTTCGTTTCATTAATAATGAGTATATCGTGATATAATATAAATTTAGGTGCTTCTTCAGCTAATGTCAATGTAGACGATCGATGTATTCTTGCGCAGACTCCAGTGGAGCTGCTCACCAGTTGATATCCAGCACGAAGGTAACCATTCGATATGGCCAAATGTTGAAAGTATCCGGCACATACACAGCGAACGATTTTTTCAATTAGATTATCATTCAACTGGACAAGATCAAATTTAAAGTTAGGATCAATTTGACAGGCCACTTCGCGAATAAAATTATCAGCCATTTTCATTGCTTTTCCGTTGATCATATTCTCGCGACACCACGTACTATTAGTTCTTTTAAAGTCGCCTAAAGCCTTCCATTCAAGAAAAATACGTAACAGTGCAATGTGATCGCCACCGATACCTGAATCATGAGCAAACAAAGCTCGTTTCTCATGACTCAATTGTTTCCCTACTTCATCTTTGGCACGCCACCACACATTTTGCACAACGCTTAACATGCCAGCAAGAGCTAGTACATAGCTGAGACAATTTTGCCTTTTTCCAGCTAAAATCATAGCCGAGAGCATAGGCTCAAGACCAAGCTTTGCCATAATTTGGCCCACATCGGTTAACTTTCCTGTTTTGGAATTGAGAGCGCCAAGCCAAGTTAAATTATCAACAGCATCTTGAAGGCTCTGACTTGAAGGCGATTGCAACCATGCAAATTTTGAAACATCGTGTATACCGAGATGTTTCAATTTGAGTACAGCTAAACTTGGTTGAATACAAAGTATTTCAGCTCGAGGACAGATATCTAATGATTCGTAAGTATCCAGTGTATACAAATGGTAACACTAAATAGAACAAAAAAAGAACTAAATTTTCTACGTTAATCAATAGCGGTCGACGATTCCAAATAAATGATAGTTCAGGTAAAAGAGGTTGCTCTCTTTGATATATATGATTGTGACTTATTTTCGAAAGATCAGCAATTACCGGGTATCCCAAAAGTCCCTTCCACTTAAATTTTTTGTATATCTTTGCTATTTAATTTCACATTATCAACTATTGTTTTTCTAAATGATACGTAGATACACCGAGTTTTTATTTATAAAGACAAGCTTCAGAAGTACTGCTCAAAGCTAAGACTTAGAATCGAAATACAAAAATATAGTCTATTTTCTATTCCCAGAAAAACATTATGCAAAATTTCTTTTTTAATCATTTCGGGTTATTACGTGGTTCAGATATTTGAGTTCTTCAATTTTTGACGAATCTTTTCATAGAATTTTACTTTGGTATGTCTTCATATAAATGAACTGGATCTTGTCACGCCAATATTCCACCAATTGGAACCGATATCATGCACGAGTTTTTCTGAGAATAGAAAATAGACTATATTTTTGTATTTCGATTCTAAGTCTTAGCTTTGAGCAATGCTTCTCAAGTTTGTCTTTATAAATAAAAACTCGGTGTATCTACCTATCATTTAGAAAAACAATAGTTGATAATGTGAAATTAAATAGCAAAGATATACAAAAAATTTAAGTGGAAGGGACTTTTGGGACACCCGGTATTTACCTTTCCTACAGATGTGCGTCCAGCTCTGCCACGTCGTTGCTTGACTGAACTTTGCGTTGTATAGCCAATTTTGAGTGCTCGCATATTTCGTTTTGAATCCCACATAACTTCTTTGACCATACCTGAGTCGATGACATGTTGAATACCGTCAATGGTAATTGATGTTTCAGCTACATTTGTTGCAAAGATGATTTTACGTCGTCGGCTATCAGTTGGCGCAAACACTTCTTCTGTTTCATCCTCATTCAGTTTGCCATGTAACGGTAGAATACAAGCTAAATTTTCCGATTTAATTTTTTTACTAACTTCATCGATGGCTCGATTGATTTCTTCGGGTCCAGTAAGAAAGACAAGAATGTCGCCTAACTCTTTACTCTCATGAATTTGAAGAGTTTTGGCAATGGCCGCATCAACATAATCCTCAGGATCTTCCACAGCATATTCATCTTCGATTGGAAATGTTCGACCGCCAACTTTGATCAAATGAGCATCTCGGTAATAGTCTTGTAACAGCTCTTCATCCAAAGTCGCAGACATGATGATCAACTATTAAAAGAAACAAAGCTTATCAAAGGAAAATCAACTTTCGAATTATTGTCGACTGATATTGCTGATGCCAGTAAGATTTTTCTTTATTAAAACGATAACGAAGAATCTGTTCGAAATGAACCAAATGAGGTCGAATAGAAAAACAAGAAGAAAATTAAGTTTTAAAACTGTTATAGCAATCAATAAAAACCTAAAATTCCATTATTTTTTGCGATCCCTCGCGCTGTATCATAGATACATCATTAATGTTCTAGCTTGTCAAGACAGTATCGAAAATACTGGATATAGTCCTCTATTATATAAACTTGCCTTTAAATCGTTTCGTTGTTGTAAACATATTTTCATCACGCCAAATAGTAAATCAGTATCGATTCGGCGCTCATGAGCTTCATCAATGACCACAATTGAATAAGAATGGAGCATTGGATCATCATGATATTCGTTTAATAAAATAGCATCGGTCACAAAACGAATTCGAGTTCGATCTGAAACGCGTGGACGAGAAGTTCCTACATGAAAGCCAACCTAAACAAAAACAAATGATCCCTTGTTATATACTCAGATGGAACCAGATCTATCAGTTGTGACTTTCGTGGAAATCAAAATCCTTAAATAAGAGTTTTACAGTATATCATGTTGAGTTTGTTTGTTTTAGCAATGTTTATGGTTCTCCTCAACGGGCCGGACTGCTTCTAAAATTATCAAATTAGAGTTTTTACCATAGAAAGATGCGCTGAAGGCTACCGTTTAAAAATATATACCGTCTCTACGAAATGGCCAGATTTCCATAGACTTCCTTAAGACGATTTTGGGTCTACTACTATTTTTTCGTATAATGAGCCTGATTTGCTAAAGTTTTCTTAATGACTTCTATTTCTCCATTTGTATTATCATTGAGTAAAACGCTTCAATATCAACCGTCAAGAGAGTACTAATGCTCAGAAAAAAGGTCATGTTTATATATGTTCTCTTTAGCTCTGAGCTAGATTTCACAAAATTTTATACAGGAAAATATAAGCATAGAACAATGAACCAGTTCACAAAAAAGAAAAAAATCATAATGTTTTGATGTTAAAAGAAGATAAGCTGTGTTATATTCTATTCGTTCCTAACATCTCATCTGCCATCTTCAAAATAGTTCACTTTTCTTTAGATTAATCAAAAGAGAGTGATATGAATAGTCACATGTGTCACTTGAGAGAGAAGGGATGAATATCATCGAAGCATTATAGATGGCATCAGATGATTTCATTTGCTACATGTTCCCAGACAGTTTACTTAATTAAACTGTAAATACACTAGTGCTTGTCCAGTTTAATCATAGTACGCACAGAGAAGAACGGGAAAGAAATTTTATTGGGCGACAACGACCACTGGGATTGAACGAAGTATAAGAGCGACAAAGTGATGGTACTAGATGACAGTAGCGTGATTAACCTGCAGTAATCCAGTGATCATTTATGGATCAAAAAATTACTTTCCTGTGCCCTTGGCGCACTACGATTAAACTAAATTGTTGTTCCATTTTGAAGCCCTAAGTAAAAATAGATTTTTGCTCAACCAGATTTTTTAGAAATGATTTCTGCTTGAAGACAAGTGAGACTCAGTATCGTATAGTATAGTCAGCTTTCTTATTATCATGCAAAACAAACAGATGGGATTTGAAAATTCTATTCAATGAAAAGTTGTGTACAAGTGTAAGCTTTAATTTGAAACCACTCTGAGCTCTCTATTTCCTGTAACAACGAAGCCTAAGAGATACTCTTGCAGGGTCATGATTAAGCTGGATCTCAAGTCTACTTCGAGTTATCAGACTGAAATTTTCAGATGACAGGGATCACTTAAATATGGTTCCACTAAAGCAGTGATCTCGAGAGACTTCTAAAACAAGCGCTAAATTGATCTAAAATCAATGTACTTATAGAGGCGATTCTTTTCGACACGGGTGTTCTTTCAATTGTAGATTTTTGTTTATCATAGTCACTGGGGTGTTTCCAAGAACACCTTCTCCACTCCTCATCAATGCGTTCTCGTTCGATTTATTTAGTCAAAGTGAATTATACTTATCAACAATATCATTCACAATTCTCTTACAATTTCTATCTGCTTTCCTTTTTGACCAAAAATCTATATTTTGAAAAACATGACATCGCTTTGAAGAAAAAAGTGGACTACATCTATTTTTGGTCTTTCTAGCCTAAAATTTTTGAGTATTTATTAAAGAGCGATTCTCGCGATAGTTCAAAAAGGACCAGGGGCTTCTCTATATCTGAACAATGTTCCTTGAGCCAAAACTAGTCCAAGTATTATAAAAATAAGACAGAGCTCAGTACTCTGTGAAACTTTAATTCAATTGGAAAACCGTGTGTTCTATTTTATCTGACAGAAGATCATAATGCATACTTCTTATTTCAGCCAGAATAAACCAAATCGTGTTTTTTTAAGATCATCATCTTACCTCTTCGCCTAGTTTACATCCGAATTCTTCGGCTACTCTGGAAGCCAATGTAGATGCTGCTAAACGTCGAGGTTGAGTACAGACAATTTGTCCTGAGACAAAATAAAATATAGTACTGACAAAGGAGAAAACATCTAAACGAACCTCGATCGGCTAAGCCGGCATCTACTAAATATTGAACCAATTGTGTGCTTTTACCAGATCCTGTATCGCCTTTTAGAATTACCACACGATTGAACATGATTGCATCAAGCAAATCTTGACGTCGTGCATAAATGGGTAAATGAGTTTTAAGTCGTTTGATTTCACGATTCAGTATGTTCAAATGATTCTGAGCTTCTAGCAGAGTCGACGGATTAAACGTGTGAAGACTCGATATAATTGTGTTGAATGTTTCTAATTGACCCTTCAGATGTTCTATAAAAGTTGTTTTCACTAGTCTCGTATCATCACTTTCGGCAAGTTGATCAAGCAATGAATCTTGTTCAGCGATAAGTAATTCATGTTCTTCACGCACATCAGGTATAGTTACCTTCAATAAAAAAATGTTAGTGAATCAGAGACAAAGATTGTATTGTGTTTATGTATCTATCACAATTTGCTTTCGATTTGTCTTTTTTAATCGGAAACTACATACTCGATATAGTTCTTCGATATTCTTTTCAATTTGTTGAAAAGAAAGCGGCGAATTTAACAAATTGGCTGTAGATGTGTTGATACTCGGACGCCTGCTTCTTGAATCTGGCCGATTTTTTGTAGTACTATTTGCTCTTCTATTTGTTTTTCTTTCTGCACTGGAATAATCTACCCGTGACTGTGTTCGAGAGTTCGAACGATAGCGACGGTTTGATGGTGTATTCGTTCGACCAATAAAATCAGGTGTTTCAAGATTCGAAACCAAAGAAGCTATCGGAATGACATTTGCTGTTGGTATTATAGGACGAATAGAGCTAGCCGGACGCCGTTTTTGAAATGGTGGACGAGAGATAGTTTTATCTGGCCGAGTACCATGTGGTGAGCGCGAATGATGGGATAGAGGCATCGATGAATCACTAGGTTGATTATTACTGTGTCTGGATGGCGGCACAATAGGTGGTATGTTGGCCTCTGGTTCAGGATGTGCTAACTTACAATCCTCTCCTCCATTGCATTGTGTTCCATACGTGCAAGGTGCTAATGATCTTTTCGACATAGCCATCGTTCTAATATTGAATGTAAATGAAGACGAATACTGGATCTTGTTGCTGCGTAAAATCTAAGATGGAAGCTCTATTTTTAATGAGTCGATAAAAAATTGAAAGTTTCTCGATCAAACTACCTTCTCACAAGCGAAGTCCTCATAGTCTCTTTATTCCTTTTAGTTCCTTCAATCTTTTCTAATACTATTTCTTGTCAACCGCAACCATAACTTTACTTTTCACCATCATCGAAGACGTAATAACTTACAAATCGATCACAATATGGAGATCTCATCTACAGAGAAAAATATTAAAAACTAGGCTGACTAGACAAGCACCTCCGTGGATCGCGTGATTTAAATTTCCTACATTCTGCAAGTAGGAAGTCGCAGATCCTTCCAGATCTGGTCGTATTCGGATAGGGGTCATATTTAAACTTAATTTCAGATCCAATCCCATGTCGAACAATCCGGCAAGGAAATGGTCGGTTCCGGAGTTTTTCCGGGGGTTTCATAGAAGCAGTATTCCGCAACGGGATTTGCGGGATTTTTCTGCTTACCTTCCTGCCATATCCGACCGGAAAAGGAGGGAAAATCCAGGGAGAAATCCGATCGTTTCCATTTCTAATCCAGATAGTCCGTTCCTGCACGGAAACGATTCCAACTTACTCCCAGGTCGAACAATCCGGCAAGGAAACGGCCGGTTCCGGAGTTTTCCGGGAATTTCATGGAAGCAGCATTCCGCGACGGAATTAGCCGGATTTTTCTACTTACTTTCCTGCCACATCGAGCCGGAAATGGAAGGAAAATCCAGGGAGAAATCCGATCCTTTCCAATTCTCATCCAGATAGTCGTTCCTGCACGAAAACGATTCCCACTTACTTGATTTCCATCGGATTTCGTAAGCAAAATATCCGTGAAGCCCCCTACCCAAGTTTACCACCTAGTTTCGTCTATTTCTGAGCTGAGACGTGTACCCACGACGATAATTCGGGCCTCCTAAAACGATTGAAAATCGCCGGAAAGCTCAGCAACAATCATCGTTTCCAGAAGGAAAAAACACGGAAATCAATGGAAATACAAGCAGTATTCCGAGCCCGAAAATGATGGTACTTTTCCGGCCACTTCCGATCATTATCAGCGCCATTTCAGCGCTGGATCAGGCAACGAAAAAAAGACTTTTGAGAAAAGACTGATAAGTACTCCAGCTGAATCAGCGCTGGTTCAGCGCTGGTTCAGCGCTGAAACAACCAACGAAAAAAAGACTTTTGAGAAAAGTTTAGTAACTACTCCAGCTGAATCAGTCAACGATAAAAAGACCTTCTAGAAAAGACTGCTAAGTACTCCGGCTGAATCAGCGCTGTTTCAGCGTTGAAACAGCCAGAGGAAAAAATACTTTTGAGAAAAGTCTGGTAACTACTCCGTCTGAATCGGCGCTGTTTCAGCATTGAAACAGTCAAAGAAAAAAAGACTTTTGAGAAAAGTCTGGTAACTACTCCGGCTGAATCAGCGCTGTTTCAGCATTGAATCAGCGCTGTTTTAGCATTGAAACAGCTAGAGGAAAAAAGACTTTTGAGAAAAGTCTGGTAACTACTCCGTCTGAATCGGCGCTGTTTCAGCGTTGAAACAGCCAAAGAAAAAAAGACTTTTGAGAAAAGTCTGGTAACTACTCCGGCTGAATCAGCCAAGGAAAAAAAATTTTTTGGGAAAAGTTTGTTAACTATTCCTGCTGTATCAGCGCTGTTTGGGCGCTGAATCAGCTAATACAGAAAAACACTTTTGGGAAACGTGTGATAAGGAAACCTTTCAAAATCGCATAACTGTATACGTCATGCAAAGATGGTTCCAACATATACAGAAATTGGTAACTAAATGTTCTTCCTTATGGCGGAAGATATCCTTCGAAAACGAGGAAAGATTTTATTGTTATGCGGAACATTTCAGTTGAAGGCGAACTTCAGAGAAGAATGTTATTGATTAATAGGTTAGTTTTCTCATTGATAAGTATGCAGTGTGAATTTTATCAACTTGTGATCATTTAAAATAGACAATTCGGAGAAATCAACGATTGACCAACATTACTTCCAGAACGGCTCGTTCGAAGCTAGTACAGCATCATTCGTGAACATTTTGAAACTGATTTTCGAGATCAGTGTATCAAATTCTAGTAGCCAAGAAAGTTTTATTCCAGTCCCATGGAGTCGTTGTAAATGTGGTATGCTTTCAAAATTATTGCCTATAGCTTCTCAATAGCTCTAATGGGCACTGTCATATTATACTGCTTGCGGGTCTGCGGATACTCCTATAGAAAAATCCGCGAGAACATATGGGCATCCCATATAATATCCCGTGAAAACCTATGGGTACCCGTGTACGATAGCCCTTGAGGATCTACATGTACTTCTCTAGGAAAACGGTTGAAGAGCTTTGAGCACCTCTATAGTATAGTCCGTGAGGATCTATGGATACCCATATACGACGGCCTTTGAGGATTCCTGGATACTTCCGTATTATAGCGCTTGAAGACCTATGCGTACTCTTATACGATAATCCTTGAGGACCTAAGAGTACCCCTATAGGATAGCCCTTGAGAACCGAAGAGTACTCTAATAGGAAAGCCTTTGAGGACCTAAGAATACCTCTATAGGATAGTGCTTGAGGGCTTAAGGGTACACCCATGGCGTTGCACTTGAGTGCCTATGCGTCTTTATGGTTTAGCCCGTCGAGAGTCATGAGTACTTATCTTAATTAGTGCTAATTGGTTGAGTATTAATCAAGATGAGTATTGATTAAGATGAGGTCTAATTAAGATGCATACTAATTAATTAGCTAATGTACAGTTACATAATGTTCATAGTCTATGGCTATCATCGATGTAAGCCTACCGTTTACTATTAACTTTAAAGCAAGGACAGAGTTCATTGAGTAAAATGTGGATGCGTAAGTGAGCTCGAAATTTGGAGTTTAGATAGTTTGGAACCCACTTTTTTGACCGAAAGTAGGGAATTTTTATGGAATTGGCGGGAAAACGGGTCAGTGCACCGTTTCCTGCGGGTAATGGTAGGAAACGATCGGATCTTAGCAACAGTATTGCGCAGGACTTTGACGGATTCTGCTTGCCGTTATCGAGCGTTTCCGGCGGGAAAGCGACGGAAGTGTCGGGATTTTGCTGGAAATAGCCGGCGGTATCCTGTTTAGGAATACTTGGCCGTGTTCCGTTGATTTTCGAGATTTTCTACGTTGTTAGTAGATAATATCGGAGTAGATCCGGCCGTTTCCACTGTGGTTCCGGCTAGATGTGATCCTAGGTAAATGATTCTAAAAAACAGATCCTGCAGGAACCGGTGGGAAAATTCACCGTATCCTGCAGAAAAATACCCCAGGACGATGATTCCGGCGCCCGTATTCGCGAATTCCCAGCGGGAACCGACAGAAAAGGCATCGGTTCCGGCAGAAAAACTTCGGAAATCGATGGAAATGGAAGCAGTACTCCGGGCCGGAAAATTATGGCATTTTTCCGGCGACTTCCGGCCATTTCCAACCGGAAAGTACAGAAAAAATCCGTAGATTTCTCGATCCAGAATACTGCTTCCATGAAATCCCCTGAAAGTACCGAAAACGGCCGGTTCCTTGCCGTATTCTTCGACCTGGGAAGCAGGATACGATAACTTTTCGTAAGAATTCCACGCGGATATGGTAATTTCCCAAGATAATTCTGGACACTGGATTTGTACGGAAGTGAAAGGATCCGCTACGGTGCTTTTCGGCCCGGAATACTGCTTTCATTTTTCGTATGTTTTTCTGTCAGTTCCGGGAGGAAATAAGCTGGAACCTGCCGGAATAAGCGGGAAATAGCCCTGGTTTCTGCCGGATTCGAAGGCCGGAATCATCGTCCTGGGCGGAGGTTTTAACTTAAGTTCTAAATATTTTCTTCATGGAGGTTCACATATGCAAAAATACTCGAAGATAAAAAATCTACCGGCCTGCATGGAAAAGTGAAGCAGATATTCATGTATGAAGCATATAATGAAAATCATCCGATGATTCCATGTAAAAAAAACTCTCAATTAACTAGTGGCGTAACCAAGGTAGGGCCAGGGGGGCTCAGCCCTACCACTCGACCTTTCAGCCCTACCACCGGAGTTAGCATCGTCAGCTAAATCCTTTCGTGAGCCCTACCACCACACAGACTTCAATAACCTGAACCCTACCAACCCACAGACTTCAGTAACCTGAGCCCTACCACCGCCAAAATCCTGGTGACGCCGCTACAATTAACCATGAAATAATCGATTTTTGATCGATTATAATCATACAATTTTAATCAAAAAGTTAAACAGCTAATAATCACAAAAGAAATCATTACCTAATCGATTTGAATCAAAACTGGTCGAAATAATCGATTAGATAATGATTTCTTGGTGATTATTTCTGTTTAACTTATTGATTAGAATCGTATATTTATAACCGATAAAAACTCGATTATTTCGTGATTATTGAGAAACTTTTTCTTTTTTACATGAGACGTCTTTAGGTAGTTTCCATACTGGCAAACGATGCATTTCACGAGAGTTGAGTAAGATGTCATAGAAGAGAACGAGAAAAGAAACGCAAAATTTCATTATAGTGCATATGACGTTGAGATGAAGTTTTTTTCCCACTTTTATGTCGTGAAGAAAAAGAACAGAGCAATCAAAAGAATGATAAAAACAACAATTCATAAGAAAAATCCAACACTGGTCGCCGATTTCATTCTTTAGTAGTGTTGTCTGCAATGATATTAGCAAATATTTAGAAGGCAAATTTCACAAAGCAATAGCAAGGTAGCGAGAGCAGGCAACATTCTTGCTGTGTCATACTAATTCAATTTCATCACCGTTGGTTTTAGCAGTGTAATTCACGATGAGAGTCAAAGTAAAAGTAGAGAACGATAAGAAAAAAAATGGAGAAAAAAATGTGTGCGACGTTTTGCTTGCATTCGTGCGTATTTAATTATGACGAAGAACGATACAACAGAATCAGGGGTAGCACTTTGACTTTCTTTCTAAAAAGAAAGAAGAGTAAAAGAAAGTGAAAGAAAGTAAAATAAAAGTCAAAGAAAGCAAAAGAAATTGAAGTCTGGGGCTGTACAGCTCACACTCATAAGCGCTGATATGAGCATAAGCGTTTTTCTTGTCTCAAATAGGGGAGGGAGGTGACAGCCACTCATCAATTACGTTATCAAGTAATTAGCAACAGAAACTTTGCAAGTTTATTCAAAGGAAAGATAATTGGGATCGAGACATCGGAGTCTGTAATCGGTTTTTCAAAATTTTGAATTTGATTTTTCTGGTGAAGGAAAGGGTCTTTTTTTGAGAAATAAGGATCTTTTTATAAAGCTTGAATAAAGGTAATCAGAGCCGAGGAATCCGAATCTGTAACAGGTTTTCCAAAATTTTAAGTTTAATTTTTTTTGCAAAAAAAATCAAACTCATATTTTGAGAAACTGATTGTAGATTCGGATTCCTGGACTCTGATTACTTTTGGTCAACCTGCATAAAAAAATAGCTACTTTTAGAAAATTACCTTTCCTTTTGATAAACTCGCAAAGTTTCTGTTGCTAATTATTTGATAACATAATTAGCGAATACCTGTAACCTCCTTTCCCTATTCGAGACAGGAAAAATGCTCATGCACATATCAGCGTTTATGAGAGTGAGTTGTACAGCCCCCAGTATCAGTTTCTTTTGCTTTCTTTGACTTTTATTTTACTTTCTTTCACTTTCTATTTACTTTTGTATGTGGAACAGCATAGAAAATTCAGCCTCCTCTTTTACAACACGGAAAACAAAAGAAAGTTTATCGACTTTTCTTTCCTTTCTTTTTAGAAAGTAAAAGTGTGACCTGTAAAGAGAACAGTCAAACATTTCGTCGATGTAACATGGCCGAATCTTGGGAATCGAATAATACTTCTAAGAAACAATTAACCTTTGTATGGCTCGATTCCGATGCATTTGAGAATGATGAAAATTTAGAAACACAACAAGAATTATATGCTATTGCTGATAATGTTGAAATATTTACTGATAGTAATGTTTGTGAAGAATTTATTCGATCTGTTCCTAATCAACGACTTGTTCTTTTTGCAAGTGGTCGTTTAGGTCTTCATATAATTCCACGTATTCATCAACTTAAACAGATAATTGCTATTTATATCTATTGTATAAACAAAACAAAATATGAGCAATGGGCCAAAGACTTTGACAAGGTTGTCCAAAATTTTCACATTGTTTATCGTCTTTTTAATTATCGGTTGATTTTTTCCATTGTTCTAGATAAAAGCTGTAATCGTTAAACGTGACGAACTCGTACATTCAGTTCTGTCGGAGAAGAATAATAATGTGGGACAAGTGGAAGAAAACTCACCGGTATTGGTGATACCTCAACATTCTCAAGCAGGTCAGTGAATTAGAACTAATCTTAAGTAGATCTTAAGGAAAAGAGAAATTCCACAAAAATAAAGGAGATATTTTTGTGGTAATTTCTTATATAGCACGATTCCCAAGCAACGGATTCGACAGAAATTTGATCGAATCTATCTGATTATCAAATTGACCGTTTATTATCTCAAAAAAGAATTTTTTTTTAGTTGATTTTTCTGAAAACTCATGTAATTATCGGCGATAAATCTCTTGTCTGATAATACGAATAGGTAATAGGTTTTTTCCCTGGAAGTGAATTTTTTTTTTACTCATATACGATTGTTCTTCGCTTAAGTCTCATTTCTATAAATTTGAAATTTTTCGATCTAGCAGAGAAATCTTTTGTATAGAGAAATAAAAAGAACCATTAATAAATGTGTTCAAACTATTCAAATATCTAGCATTTCCTATTCATGTGATTACATTCGATGATTTTCGATACACTGATCGCTTCTCTTTTATAGCTGTCACACATAATCCAGTCACAACATTACCTCAATCTTCAACCGCAAGTACACATGATATACAATCGATATCATCATCATCAAAAGAATACGAACAAATGCCATTGGTTTCTATTGAAACGGCTACTGCTCCACTAATGAAGATCGTTCCCAATCTTGAACAGATGGTTACAACAGCAAAATCGAATTGTTACGCACCAGATGATGGTTTATCATCGGATGAATCCGCTTCTATTATGCTTTATACAATGGAATGGTCGACAAAAGAACCATCATTTTGTTATTTTCTCAATCGAGCATTGAATTCAAATGATGAAAAACAACTTAGACCATGGTTTCACTATTTAAAACTTGTTTCTCATGCCTTAGCAAAACTTAAAACACAACGTCGTACTATCTATCGAGTCATTACAGAAGATGTCAGTCGTCGATACCAAGAAGGAAACAAATTTGTTTGGTCTGAATTTATTAGTGGTACAACGTATGTTAAAGCACTTGATGATGAGAAAAATTCTAGTCAAGGTAGTAAACGAACTCTATTCACTATCGAATGTGAAACTGGCAAAGATATTAGTCGTCATACATTCAGTGATGAACATGATGATATTCTACTTATACCCGGTCGACAATTTGAAGTCGTCGCCTGTCTCGATCCGGGTGATGGACTTCGAATGATTCAAATTAAAGAAGTAACATTAACATAAAAGAATAGATCTCAAAATTGGTTTCGACCAAGCATCAATCTTTAATTCAGGTTTATTATTTATTAATTTGTCTTAATTGCAGGTTTTTTTTTATATACTAATTTCGATATAAAAATTTTACGATGAAATCAAATTTCTCGTGTGAGAAGGGTTTCAGTTTAAACATAGGTCTTTTCCAACAAAGTAAAAAATAGAAAATTGATTATCATTATCAAATTGACTTTTCAAGTCACAATCGAAATCTTATTACTTCCAATTCATTGTAATTTTGATCTTAAAATCACTTGTCGTTTTTTGTTATTGTTCTTCGCACATGCCAATGAATAAAGATGTTAATTTTAGAAGACTTCTATTTTAGTTGAAAACAATAATTTGATCAAATGAATCTCGCCAGGAAAGTGAATATTCAGATTTCAAAAATAAAAGTCACAAGTTACAACAATGATATCTGAAGTTTGCCAGAAACTTCCGAAATTATGAAAAGTTTTTTCTTTTTCTATACGTATAGATTCCAATAAGTTTTGAAAATTTTTTGGTTTTTTTTTTCATTTCTGACTAGAGCTTCATTGTCATAGAAAAGTTCGGATATTTTTCTCTCAGGACTGTTTTGACACTTTCACAAAATGCAATGTGGAAAGATGCCAAACTCCTATGAAGTGACTACAGAAATTTAATTAAGCGATCGATATGTTAATTGTTGTGCTGAACTTTTTTGATATTCCAGATATAGATTCAGTAGGAGTCATATGAAATATGATGACATAGAATCTTCAAAAACTAAATGAGCAAATAAGCACTTTCTGTGATTTGCAAAAATTTTGGTCGAGTTAATTAGTCGAATATGGTTTCGTATATTAGCTCTAGTTCTTGATCAGATTCACTCGACCTAAGTATTAAAAGTTGTACAAAAAAAAAAAGATATTTTGTCATTGGCAAGGGTGCACACTTTCGTTCGCTATGTGTATCATCTATCGCGTATGTTTTCTATACTAATTAATTCAGACAAATTAATTGTTTTATTTGAATCGTTTTTGCAGGCAAAATCTCGTTAATAACATTTGAAATGCCTTTTACTCGACAGAATCATCGCTTGTTTTTTCTCATCAGACGAGGTTAAATTATGAATCATTCTCTTTCTTGTATCTCTTTGACAAAAAAAAAAACCTGAAAAAAATTAACGTGGAAGAACAGTTTATCTTTGCAGTTTTTTCTCCTTGTTTGCCAGACATCGACACAGCATGAAAAGAACATGTTAAAAATCCAAGTCATTGCGTACGACACACGTAATTTGTTCTTCTTTCCTGTTCTATGATGTATCGATTAGTTGCAAAATTCTTTTTTTTCTCCCAGCTTCATTTTGTATTGCCATAAATTTCACATGTCAATGATAGTTGTTTCGAAATTTAATCTTCGTAGTGAATTCAATTTGAAGCTTATCAGACAAAACATATAAACTTCGTTTATCCCGTTGAGAGGTATGTGTCTACGAAGACTATCGTTCTGTTTCTATGCATATCATATAATGCAACGATCAATAGAAATAATTCAGACTTACAAGAATACCTTGAAATAAATAAGAAAATGTTTTTCATCTTCCTAAACAATCTTTCAATGAATACAAGATACTTTTTTCTACACATTTACGATCAGTTATGTCGATTTTAATTGATACAACTCATCATATTAGATCAAGTCGATAATGCTTCAAAATTTTGCATACGAATTCATATTTAAACATGAGTACTGAGCGTCTTAATATTTCAATCTTAATGCTTTATAATTGATTGAAATGATATGTTGTTAACATTATTTCACTGATACTCTATCTCACTCCTCCATATATAATAAAAAAAAGTCGCTGTATCAAAATATCTCCTATATTCCTTCATTTATCGGCAAAAGTGTGAGAAAACCCGAATATATTCGGAGATCGATTTTGTCAAAATTAGGATTTAATAATGTTTTAACTGTATGTATTAAATTATTATATCAATAATTGCGAGAATATTTTCTTAGAACGATAAATACGAACTCCTTTACTTCTTTAAACTATTTTATCCTTTTTGTATTCTCCTGTATACGATCCTATTTCTCGGTCTATGAGTGCTTCTGTTTGACCAATGCGGTTGGGACTTTTCCATTTGATCGATCTATTTGATTATAAGAAAAATATTGATCTCTTTGCCCATGGCTATGATCTGTCTCATTCCAAATGTAGTTCATAACGGTTAGTACTGATACGATTGTACATATATGTGTTGGTGAGAGGTACATCTTGAAAAATATTTTCTTTTTAGTGATCGATTGTTTCTTTTTCGATTCGTGAAAGAAAACATTCGGTTATGTCAAAATATATCTGATAAAAGAATATGTTAATAACCCGTTGACTACGAGATTTTTTTGTGAGAAATATCGAAATTTTCTATATTCGAAACTAACATCAGTTTTTTGATCTAATATTCATTTTCTTTAAGATCTATCTGCTCAAAAGATGACTCTGATGCCTCCTAGAACAAGTCAAAACCCGACTTTTATTCGCGATTCCGATATTGGACTTTCGTCAACAACAATATCGGAGTCTCTTCGAACTTTTGAAGACAAACCTTTAGTTTCGCTTGAAGAAGCTGTTGAACCACTAAAGTTTGTGGTTGAAGAAGTGAACAACATGATTATGAATGTCAAAGCAATATGTTATTCTCCGGCAAATGGTCTTTCTATCGATGAATCGGCTTCAATTATGTTATACACGTTAGATTGGACACCGAAAGAAAAATCTTTCTATTTCATTTTAAACCAAACTCTTCGTTCTCAAACTGCAAATTATCAACTCTGGTATCCTTATCTTCGACTTTTTACTTCATCTCTTGGAAAACTTCCACCTTTAAACAATCTAACGATATATCGAGGTATTAAAGCGAATGTTGGTAACGAATATCCAGTGCGAAAACGATTCTATTGTTCGACGTTTTTATCGTGCTCATCACATATTAACATTATTCAAGACTTTCTCGGTCAAACAGGACCTCGAACTCTATTCACTATCGAATGTTATAGTGGAAAAGATATTAGTCAACATTCTTATTTCAATACAGAAAAGGAAATTTTAATTCCCATTGATAAATATTTCGAAGTTATTAATAATGTCAAACAAGGAAATGAATTTCATCTAATTCAATTAAAAGAAATTGAACCTCCTCCAATTATGTCACTTCACAATCGACAATTAATAGATCGAATTCGAAATTGTTCATTTCGTGTCGCAATTGATTTAAAAGAACAACAATTAACTCTTGAAGATATGAATATTGTTGTCAACGAAGCCATTATCAATAAACAATGTACAGAACTTAATTTACAAAAGAATGCTATTACATCAGAAAGCATTGTAATTATAGTTTCGGCATTAGAAACTAATTCTACATTACAAAAACTTTGGCTCGATAATAATTGTTTATCTGATATGGGTGTTCATTGTTTGGCAACGATACTTTCAGTTAATAAATCGATTTTGACAACTCTTGGTCTAAATTCGAATGGAATTACAGATGAAGGTGCAAAGATTCTCGCCAAAATGCTAAAAACAAACAAAACATTAACTTATCTTCGATTAACTCATAATCAAATTAGTAATCAAGGAATTCAATTATTAGCTGATACTCTCACTCATCATAATAATACATTGACACAATTTGATATTTCGTCGAATAAATTAGTGAATGATTCAAGTATTGATTATCTCATTCAAATGATTATACATAATCGAACATTGTCATCATTGACCATCTTAGATTGTAGTCTATCTGAAAATGGTAAACAGAAATTTCGAACAATGGGACAATCAAAATACGGTTTCAAACTTTGTCTCTAATTAAAAAACATATAATGATTGATATCCATGCAAAGATGAAAGATGTTCATAAACAATCCATCTGACTGAAATTTGATTATCATTTACATCTTAAAGATAATTGTACTATTGTTTTTTTTTGCAAATAGAAGAATAAACAACTGAGACGATTATAGATGTGATGTCATACTTTCGAGGTAGCAAAGGTGAAATGAGTATGACACAAAATTTTGTATTATTACTTAGTCTATGACATTCGTTACACTGGCAACACATGCTTTGCTCAATTATGACTATTCGATAACAGACGCCTCACACTCGCACCTACACACCCATACCCATACCCACACCTCGACTCAAGCAAGCAAAAAATCATCAGATTTGATTAAGTAAACGAAGAATTTTATTCAGATGTGATATGTCACTGATTTTTCCATTAAGTTCAACGAGAGACCACATCCATCTCGACTTTTGGGTTAAAATATTCTTGAAAAAAGTTTCTTTTATATTTATGATATCATATTATAAGTGGAATTGAAAAGATAGAAAGTTAACACCTCTGTAAGTAAATATTTATACTATCATCCCCGTTGCTTCCAACGATGAAATCCTGTTTTTTGTCATTATCAAAATCACCACTGAGAGTGTGGGTGTGGGTGTGGGTGTGGGGTGTGGGGTGTGGGTGTGGGTGTGGGTGTGGGGTGTGGGATGTGGGGTGTGGGTGTGGGTGTGGGTGTGGGTGTGGGGTGTGGGTGGGGGTGTGGGGTGTGGGTGTGTGGGTGGGTGTGGGTGTGGGTGTGGGTGTGTGGGTGTGGGTGGGTGTGGGTGTGTGGGTGTGGGTGTGGGTGTGGGTGGGTGTGAGTGTGGGTGTAGGTGTGGGTGTGGGTGGGTGGGGTATGGGTGTGGGTGTGGAGGGTCGATGTATGGGTCTAGTCTTCATTCACATCCACACCCATATCCACACACACCCACAACCACAACCACACCCACCCACACCCACACCCCACGCTGGCTGCAGTCGTGGCAGAAACTAGGATCTGGACATAGATAGCGATCGGTTCGAGATTGTGAGTGAGACGAG